TTGGTTCTAATCATAGTCCCTTCTCTGTACTTTTAGCTCACTCTTTCCCTCTTGCATGAAGGTCAAAAATTAAAAAAAATAGGCTCATCAATAAAACCAGACGTGTTTTTGACCTTGCGCAATCGGAGTGATGATTATAACATGTATGTGGAAAGGGGGAGATAGTGGTCATTAAACCTTGATGGCCGAAAACAGACGTTACTTTTGCTGTTTAATTACTTTGAGCCATCACTGTGGGTTTCGTGCATAAGCGAACATAAACAGGCACATAGACATACAGAGACAGATACACTCACAGGCTTCAAGGTTGACATATGACCACGATGGCCACTTTTCTTGCATTCCTTTTTTAGTGAATTCTCGTTTAGCCTGTTGTCCTGCCCTGACGAAGTCCGTCATATGACGGACGAAAGCTCAGCAAGGATTCATTGAGGTAGCATAGCGGTGCGCCGAGGACCAATTCCCAAAAATCTACAGTCATAGCTTTAAGGCGATTCCTCTACTACTTTCGGTGGAACCAATTTACGAATCCCTTCCTCGTCTCTTCAAACGAAATCAAAGCTACTCCAATATCACTCAAAATGTGCCTTCACGAGGCCTTAATGAATTAGCAAAGACTTCGTTCATTTTGACTGAACGTAACTTCTATGTTGTAATATATTGTGATGCGCCAATTCCATTATACTCTTATCTGACTCAGCCAATCCTCATGAAAGATAAAGCATTTCATTTCGGAAAAAATTTACTTCCTCGACTTAGCAAGTTTCGCCAGTCAACGCACCCAGACATTTTTTTCTATCAAGAAAAAACTTCCACTGGGTAAAAAGACGTCAAGTGTGTCAAAATAATCTCCCGTAGCTGGCAGATTTCTTATTTGGCTAATGTAGGGCCTTTTACAAATTAAGTTCGGCACCTGGATGGTTAATTAATGTTCATTTCGCGATCCAAACAAAATAAGTATGGATAATATGCCTTATTTTTACCAATTTATGAATGAGTGCTGTTATAACTTATGCATGAAGGCTCTTATGCTAATTGCTTCATTTTTACTCACTAGTTTACGTTCCACAGGATTTTTCCAAGTAACTTGATTCTTTCATTTAGTTTGTGAGTGAACCCGGTTTACATTTTTTCATGTACTGCAGATAATCGGTATATCTTTGTGGGGATATATAGTTGCATATTATGTCTAAAGTTAAGTGCTGTTATCCTAATTTGTGGATTTCTCTATGACATTCAACTTTATCATTCATCTGACTATCATATCTAACATTTATTTCTGAATATTGTTTCTTTCCAGGGTTATTTTCATTAACCTGTTTCTTTTGATGCCTAATTAATTTTCATTTAACACAGCTATACACATTACTTGGATTCTCCCTTGGGGTCCCATCCAGACGGAGCTCTTGTTACTGCTACTGTCTTCTGTCCAGTGGATGCGAGTAGGCTCAAGCAGCTTTCACCTCCACCCTCGGCCACTCTTCCCACATTGCCCTTGCTGGTCTGTCCACGGCTCAGCGGCACCGATGCAAATCCTGATTCCCCTGGTTACACTGTCACTTCGAGCATTGGTGGCCTGATTGCCAACAGGTTACCCCAAAATCAATCTCTATCAGCTCATAATTCATCTAATAACGGATGTTCTTCATATACCTCATTGACTTCTGCTCCTCTTGTCGGTGAACCTCATTTGAGCACTAGACGTCTTCTGGTCGCTAGCAGATCCAGTTCTGATTCAATTGGACTGCCTTGCTCCTCCGGGTCGGCAATCCCAACAATTGTTGCTACTCTTTCTGATAGCAGTTCTCCAGGTACCCGCGTTCCTTCTAGCATTGACTTAGGTGAAAAATTTGCCGTTGCAGTTACATCTTCGGCTTCTGCACTCAGCTCAGCATCTGCTTCAAACCACAGTCAAACAACCTCCGCCTGTGGCGATGTAGAGACAATTGGGGTGCTCGCAGAGCAGAAAAATAATAACTTTGTTGCCTCCATACAACCCTCATCTATTGATGGTCAGGCATCGAAATCGGTTGGAGTAGTTTCCTTATGCCTGCAACACGACCAGCGTCACCACCAGTCGCACCGTCTTCATTCAGACGATCTTATCAGCCCGACTCACCATCACCCACTCCATCTGCACCACTATCATCCAATCAAGCGACACCTTTACTTAGATAGCACGACTGCGGCTGCTGCCACTTCTACTACAACAGCAGCAACAGCGTCATCCACCTCCACTCGTTAAGTCCTGTGTTTACCCTGGATTCATTAAAGTTTTGAACCTTCATTCTTTCATTCCATCTGCCAATTCACCTATCTTTATCCATTTGTCCACTTATCCGTCCACAACCATCTTCATTAATATATTATTGTTAAACTCTGCTATAGTTATGCAGTTTGTTCGAACTGGGCTTACAAATACGGCCCACTTCATCTGCACTCAAGCTATAGCAGATGTGCGCATTTACAAGTTAGCATACATAAGCTTTATCATATTAACAGCTTGATTCATTTATTCAATCTTGTCGTCTCATCAACTCTTTAGGAATCGTTTCTCTTGCCATTCTGTCTACGTGTGTTTGTTGGCTTTTCCAAATTTGTTTACTTGTCTAAACTAGGGTATTTTTCTTCAATGTAATTTTCTTCTTCTACATCTCTTTTTTTATACGTTAATTTACTCAACCTTTATTAATGAAGGCAATTACTCTTTTTGGCTTTTGCCTCATGCATCATGTATACTTGAAATTGCAAAAAGGAACTCTTACATAAGTCGTGTATTTTTACATGACTATTTAAACTGGTATCTACGGCTGTGTCTAATCTTATGAAAAGGTTTTCTCATTCATTTTTTTTTCAATAAATTGTTTTCCGCTGGAACCCACATTCAGTTCCAACTTCATACACATCCATTTCCATTTTATTTAATCCTCTAAATCATGTTAATGTATTTGACCTGAGCCTTCATTTTTCTATCTCCGTGCCTCCTTACCAAGTCTCAACTACTCACCAGAACTTTCATCTGTTCTAGACAGTTTCTTATTTGTCCTGTGATATGCAACCCTGATACCTTCTACTGTTCGGACGTTTGGATTAGATGTGTATTCTCAGACTTTGAAAATGTAAAAAGGGATGTATTTAAATCGGAGTATGTATATTTTAAGTCTTTCTACCCTTTTGTCTATTATGATTTTTTTCTCAACTGAGAAGAAGTCTTACCTTTCTCATTCACGCATAAACATGCTTGCATTTCTTCTGATTCGCGAATTGCTAAGGTTCTCAATTGGTTTTCCCCACTCATAACAACACCTACTGCGGCTTCTCTTAGTTAATGAATATTTTTGTACACTCACTTGTTCACTTGATCTTTCTTTTATTCGTGTTGTGGCTTGTAGTGTTTTATTTACGCAGGCCTGTATACGGAGTTTTCGTCTGCCGTTCCTCATTGATGAAATTTACTTTTATGACTAATCACATTGGCCGATTCATGTTCCATCAAATTTGATAACATGGTCGTATATGGTGCATCCGAATTTCTGCATCTCGAATCTAGGGAAAGTTGGTTAATGCTATTTGATTCGTGAGTTTTTATAATCTATATAGTCGGGTTGTCGATGTTCACGTCGCATGGCAAAATCAATATATTAAGCAAGCTGAGTAAATTAGGATATTGTAGACAGCTTCAAATTTGCTGCTTTATCAATGGGTTTCGATTGGGTCGTATTCTTTGGCAGTGGACTGGTCAGAGTTCATTTTTATCCTATCAAAGCGTGGTTCCGTTATCTAAGTTTCTATTTCAATATCGAGTTCGTTTTCATTAATTGCTGAGTTGTGATTCCTTATTTTCAAATCACTATTTGTCCAATTTGTATCGTAAAATCGATCTTTCCTAGTGTTTTTTATTGTTTTCTGCTTACTGATATCTTAAACATTTTAATATATGGTTAACGCACATTCTTGCCTGGTGACTATTGAATTCCCGATAAGCTACTATATAATGTGCAGTCTTTATAGTTTATTTGTTACATCTACCTAAGCCCACGCATATATGTACGCTTGCTAAAGGATGTATGTATATATGAATATACTAACATCTCACTCAGGGATTATTATTTGATCTACATCGCCATCTCTACCTAATCCCCATTACCTTCTCTACTTCTCCACATTTGTTGGCCCATATTCTTAATCTGGTATACCTAATAGTTTTTATTCTTGACGGTATTCTGATTGATAATCATTTCTTCTGTTACACCTCTCGGCTTTTAATTTTTTCGGAATATTTTTTCCTTTCATTCTATTCTACCGCAACATGGAGGTTTTATCACTAATGCTGATATACATATATTTATATTATTAAACGTTAGTATTATTAGAATAATTTTCGATATTACGCATTGTCTTTCGGTGAGATTTTGTTATGCTTGATTACGTCGCTCCCCTTGTTAACGTCCATTTTTCTTTTCTTGTCTTAATTATTACAAACTTTACTGTCATCAACATTGTCGTCAACTCGGTGGCTGATTGCCTTCTTTTTTTAGCGGAAAGAATTTCTCCACTTGTATAGAAAAGAGAAGCTTGCAGTTAAAGAAGTCACCGAAAAGATAAAACTTACCTATCATCATTATAGCCTCTTCTTAATTTTTCTTTGGCATCCCTCGTCATTTATGTACTTACATTGTGCTACTAATCCTGAATTCTTTTATACTGCAAGCATGCTCATAATGAATTATCTTCATATTATTCCTTATCTTTCACTCAGTGATGCTTTTCCATCTCCTTGTCCATTATTTTGTTTGTTTTGTCCTGCCAAATAGCTTTATTATTGGCCAGGTTTCAGCCAAATTGTCTTGTGGCAGCAAATACTAAGAAGATTCATCACTTTCTAACTTGCTCATTTAAATTATTTTCAAACTCTGCGGTGCTACTAAATTGCACAACCTCTTTTTTCGACTTTATTAGATAATCTTTTATTTCAATCTACTCAATTCATCTTTATCGTCAGCCTCCCCTTTTCTTTCTACTCATTTAGCTGTCTTTATCTCTCTGATTTGAATTTTTATACAGTATTGTCTAAACTGTGTGCCGTATTGTCTAGGTCATTCTTTATTAAAGCGCAACCAGCTTTTACACGAAGT